CACGGTCTTACTTATTGCTCCAGTGGTGAGGGCTTTTGTTTTCTTTACATGGGGGTGTAATCATCCTGACCTCCGGGGGCTTGGCTCTTCATCAGGAAGTGCGTCAAACCCTCTTCACTTCCAGGAAGCCAGAGCATTCTTTCCAGCTCTACTTGTTGTTGAAGGCTCTCAGCTCTGTTTCAACCAACAGGGCCAGGTGACAGAGGGGGTTCCCTTGGCTGTAATCTTTACAGAGTCAAATTGCCAGGCCTTTCACCCGTGGAGCCACTGGGCGGATTCGAACCACCAACCTTTCCGTTGAGACCTGAGCATTATCATTGTACTACCAGGGCCCATTTTGCTATGCTTATTACCTCTTTCATAAGAAAAAAACGGTGTCAATTCCAACATGGTAACCCAATGCGTGCCAGAGCAGAATTATGTGCCGTGGGATTTTCTATGCTGCTTTTTCTAAAGCAGTTCCACAGAGCCCTTCTTCCCACCTCTGAGTGGACTCAACCCACCAACCAGAAAGGTGAACAGAATGGCTCTTGGGACGCTATGGGATTGGACTTGTCAAGAACGGACTTGGCTGTGGAGTGATTGCAGAGGGCAATGAAGGGTGAAGGAGGGAGAGGGAATGATTCCTCTGTAGATAGCTTCAGAGTTTAGATGGCAAAGGAAAGGAGAGATGAGATAGCTCCCAAGAGAGAAGGAAGGGTGGAGAGAGTTGGTTCCTGCTGCACAAAACGCAGCAGGAAGTTTTTGTTGAAACAAGATCTTGGAGGAAGTCTGAGGGTCCCTGGATGGCAGACACCACCCCCCTCCAGGAAGTGAGGGCTGGTCACTTGTCTGCCTTGCCCATCCCTTGAACCTCCTGTGGTAACTGTGTTCACCCACCCACCCTCCCGCTGAGCTGGGCTGCTGCTCCACTGCTCCAGGATCCGGGTGGGGCAGGCGACTAACTGTGCAGTGTGAATTCCCTCCATCGTTCTCGCTGGGGCTGCCTGCCGCACACTTTGCCACAGGTATAAACCAGGTCCATCTTTTGCGCTCAGCAAAAGCTCAACACTTTTGATTTCCAAATCAGGCCAGTAGTCATGATCCCAGAAAGATGGCTTCCTGGTCCTTGGCATCTCATGCAAGAGTATTAGAAAAAAGACATTTCAGATTAAATTATATATGTGTGATTTTTTTACAGTAGATTCCATGTGCAAATAGATTTAAATTCCTCTTGTCCATTTGGATGGCTGACCACAGGATGGCAGAGCTGTTTCTCCAGAGAGTGATGAAGCTTTGCCCCATCAAGACGGGCAGCCTTGGAACCCTGCTCAGTGTTATCCTCAGTTGTCACCTGCTCAAAGGGCAGTGGTTGGTTGGGGGTTGGGTTTTGTCCTGAAGTAAGAAACGTGCCCTTCTGTGATTTCGTAGAACTCTTTGCAAAACTTGAAAAGCACCAAGAAAGAGGAGGAGTCCCTATGGCACTGTGGGTTAGGCCTGGTGCTGCTATAACCTCGAGGTCCGTAGTTCAAGCCCCTGAGTTTCTCCAAGAGAAAAAGATGAGGCTGTCTACTCCCATAAAGATTTATCATCTCAGAAACCATATACAGGGCCACTATGAGTTGGCAGCAACTCAATGGCAGTGGATTTGTTTGTGTTTGTTCGTTATTAAGGCGCCTGGGTGGCCCCAGCCAGTTGCAACTGGCTGTGACCTAGGGGTTGGAAGTTATAATCAATGCAGCAGCTGTGCAAAAGAAAGGCCTGGCAAACTGCTTTTGTAATGGTGGTTGTTGTGGTTAGGGACTGTTGAGTCAGTTTAACAGAATGAAACACTGCCCAGGTGTGCACCATCCTAGGCTTGAGCTAGTGTGTCATTCTATCTCATCAAGGGTCACCCTCATTTTTAAAAAATAATTTTATTAGGGGCTCATACAACTCTTATCACAATCCACACATACATCAATTGTATCAAGCACAATTGTACATATGTTGCCACCATCATTCTCAAAACACCTGCTTTCCACCTGAGCCCTTGGTATCAGCTCCTCATTTGATAATTTATAAATTATTATTATTTTGTCATATCTTACACCATCCGATGTCTCCTTCACCCACTTCTCCACTGTCCATCCCCAGAAGGTTATATGTAGACCTTGTAATCTGTTCCCACTTTCTCCCTCACCTTCCCTCCACCTTCCCGATATCACCACTCTCAGTACTGAACCTGAGGGGTTCATCTGTCCTGGAGTCTCTGTGTTTCCAGTTCCTATCTGTACCAGTGTACATCCTCTGGTCTATCTAGCCAGATTTTTAAGGTAGAATTGAGATCATGATAGTGGGGGGGGGAGGGGAAGCATTCAAGAACTAGAGGAAAATTGTATGTTTCATCGTTGCTACACTGCACCCTGACTGGCTCGTCTTCTCCCCGCAGCCCTTCTGCAAGGGGATGTCTAATTTCCCACAGATGGGCCCTGGGTCCCCGCTCCACACTCCCCCTCATTCACAATGCTATGGGGTTGTTTTTTGTTTTGTTTTTCTTGTCTTTGATGCCTGATACCTGATCCCTTCGATGCCTTGTGATCTCACAGGCTGGTGCGCTTCTTCTATGTGGGCTTTGTTGTTTCTTAGCTAGATGGCTGCCTGTTTATCTTCAAATCTTTGACCCCAGACACTATATCATTTGATAGCCAAGCACCATCAGCTTTCTTCACCACTTTTGCTTATGCACCCACTTTGTCCTCAGCAATCGAGTTGGGACAGGCTGGTGTGCTTCTTCCATGTGGGTTTTGTTGTCTCTCAGTTAAGTGGTTGCTTATTTATCTTCAGGTCTTTAAGACTTCAGGTGGTGTATCTTTTGGTAGCCGGGCACCATCAGCTTTCTTCACCACATTTGCTTGTGTACCCATTGTCTTAAGCGACTTCAGGTGCTATATCTTTTGGTAGCCAGGCAAGGGGTCGCCCTCATTTTTGCTGCCCCTCTATGTTACCAAACATGATGTCCTTCTCCAAGGACTGGTCTCTCCTGACAACATGCCCAAAGTACATGAGACCAAGTCTCACCATCCTCATATCTACAACTCATTCTGGCTGTACTTTTTCCAAAAGATTTTTTTTTTCTTTTTCTCTTCTGGCAGTCCATAGCATTTTCAGTATTTTCCAGCAGCACCGTAATTCACATGCCCTGGTGGTGGACCATGCATTGAGCTACTACTAACCACCAGGTCAGCCCCACAGAAGCAACCTGAGGCTGTCTGCTCCAAGCAACCTGAGGCTGTCTGCTCCCCTGAAGATTTAAAATCCCAGAAAGCCACAGGAGTAGCCCTACTCTGTCCTACAGGCTCACTGGGCGTCGGGATCAACTTGATGGCAGTGGATGAAGTGTCCGTGAAGATTGTCACCAGGAAAACCTGGGGCCAGCCTGCTCTGTAACACAGGCGGCCCTCACGAGTTGGGGATAACTTGACTGCAGCTAACAACTGCACTTATTTTATTAAAAGCATCTTATGTTCCCAGCAGTATGTATCATGTGTCTGTGTGTCTGTGCGTGTGTGTGTGTGTGTGTGTGTGTGTGTGTGTGTGTGTACCTGTAACCTAGTGCTCGCCATCATTTAAATCCCTCAGTTGCTTGAACGCAATGCGCACCTGTCAGGTCAGAGGAGGTTACCGTGGGAAACGTGGCTGTTGACGGGGGCGGTCTCACCATCCAGAGATATAGAGAGAGCCCCAAAGCCAAACCCACTCCCATCGAGCCCATTCTGGCTCAGAACCACCCTAGTAGGGTTTCTGAGACGGTCAATCTTGTAAGGGAGCAGACCACCTCTTCTTTCTCCCATGGAGCTGCGGATGGGTTTGAACGGCCGGCTGTGCAGTTAGCAGCCCAAAACTTAACCTATCGCGCCACCAGGACTTCTTGACCGAGAGCCTACCACCTCCAAAATGTTTTTGAATGGTCTGAAACAAGTGGGGGGCAAAAATGTCCTGGGATTTATGTTGTACCTTAAGATAAACTAATCATTTGAAGGTAAAAATTCCACTCAGTATTCTTTCTAAGTTGTAGACAAAAGCAAAGGCGCTCTCGCTTATAAATTAAGTTTCTGATTCCAACAGAAAATTCCTTGCTCCTCCCCGCTTCTCTCCCCAACAAACTGATTCCTAGATGCACTGAGCAGAAGACACAAATCACACACTCACAAAGACCTTGTAAACTGCCGTGCCTGGCTTCAGCCAACGACTGAAGGGCAGAGAGACGGACGCGTCCCAAGGAAAGGCTGAGGGAGCCGCCTGTGAACCGAGGCGCTGTGCTCGGCAAGGTCTGCTTCTTTGTCCTCGTGCGGGCAGTAGCCCTGCCCATGGCTTGGGTCCCACACACATGCCCCTGGCCCCAGCCACCCAGCTGGATCCGCCCTCAGCAGTCGCAAAGGGCATCGAGGTCTCCCATGGTAGAGCTTGGAAGTACCCTCTGGAGCTCAGTACCTGCGTCATTCCTCAGAGCCATCCCCTCTCTCTTTCTTACCGCCTGGCCTTTCCGGTGCTACACTGATGTATGTCTGTCTGAGCCAGAGTGGACAGGGGGGCGGCCAGCCTTTCAGAAGTGAGGGCCCCTGGGAACTGCAGGGGGACCCCGGGGATGGCTTTTCAAGGAAGTGTCCTGTACATCTTTCAGCTGAAAGCGGACAAAGCAGCGGGCAGTTTCCAGGGCGGCCCTCGGAAGTCTGGTCGCAGTGGCAGAGCCAGCACCACGGTCAGCAGAGCGGTGAGCAGCATTCCCACCAGCAGCCCAGTCAGACTGAAGTGTTCCAGGTAAATCCAGCGAGCAGCGCCCTCCCGTAGGTACCTGCGCCTTCTCTCTGCTTCCTTTCTCCCTCCGCCCGGGCCGCAGCTCCACCCGCCCGCTTGTGATTGATTGTGAGTTCTGGCCTGGCCGGGGCCCCGTTGTAGCCCCAAGCTAGAGGGGTGCCCAGGTGTAGCAAGAAGTGTCAGACGCACACAGGAAAGGTGAGGGGGCCTTTAGCTTTTGAGCCAGGGTGGACAAATGGGGGGCTCTGAGGCTGGAGACTCACTCTGAGCTGCAGGAGGGGCACTGATGTCACCTGGCAGCCACCCCTGCAGGCTCTGCAGGCTCCTCCAGGCCTGATTGCCCCCAGCTGCCCAGACACAGCCCCTCGGCCCTGCCAGCACCCAAGAGGGGAGGTTTACCTACCCAGCCTGAACACATCCACGCTGGCTCAGCTCTTTTCTCTAGGTAAGCCCAGGTGCTGCCCTCTGGCTGAGAACACTTAATGTCTGCCATTGGATTTCTGGCTTCCCAACAGTTGGGGGGCATCCGGGTTTGGGGCCTGGGACAGACCTGCCCTAAGAATGCAGCTGCAGACGGTCTGCTGGTAGCTCCTCAGATCAGCATTCTGTCCCCTTGAGGGTCCCTGGGACTCCACTCTCCATCACAAATGTTCTCACTGGAGGCTCTGCATGGGGGTGCGGGGTACAAGCCCAAGCACAGCCTCAGCCAAGTGCTCAGCCTCTCCCTCAGGAATTCCATGATGGGGGAAGCCCATGACAAGAGCCAGGCTCCCTCTGACTTCCCCAGAACCTCAAGATGCCTCACAAAGCAAGATCGTGAGCAGAAATAAAACTGTGTGCCCACAGGGGGGCCTCCTGGGGTTGTGAATCCCCCTTCTTAGGGCCCTTCTCTTCACTGGACCCCACACTCATCCCAAACTCCTGTCCTGTCAGGCCAGCCAGCATGCTCACAGACAATGGTTTAGAGCCCCGGTGTCCGTCCAAGTCGCCCATATTTAAATGTCACTTTCCATTTGCATGTGCAGGGAATGCCTTACCAGGACCTTAGCCTGGTCCACACCGACCTGCTCACGTCCCTTTCCCCGCCCCCAGCCCCTGCCCCTGACTGCTCCCAGCCCCTACCCATCCTCAGAGACCTCACCTCGGCCCTGTCAAACCCAAGTCTCTAAAGCGGAGCTGAATGGTCTTGATGCGATGAAGGATTCTTGGTCAGCGATGTTGGGGAACACTAGCTGTCCCCAGTTATTCAGATTCTACTGCAGGACTTCCGGGGAGTCTCTCTGACCCTAACGGGGACTGGATTTCTAGAAAGCTGGTAACGTACGCCTTGCTTCCCAAACTCATTTGCCCACAGAGTGCTCTGTTCCCTGACCATCTCGCCGGCCTCGAATTCCACAGAATGAAAGTGCCGTGAGGGGTCGGAATCCTGCTGCCCCTGCGTGAAAGGCTGGGTTGTCTTGGGCCCAGTGCACGAGGCTGTCATGTCTGAGACTGAAGCATGTGGGGATTGGCTCTGCCCTCTACACAGGCACCCCCTTCCCCGCCTGGCATTATAGTTCTGATGTATTTGTGTACATGCTGGGGGCCAGGCAGGCTTCTCCAGGTAGACCGAGGCCCTGCAGAGCAGCCCCCAGCGGCTGGGGTCAGGGTGAGGGTGGGGGTTCTAGGCTGCCCCCAGAAAGAGGACGGTGAGGGGGAGAGGCAGGCTGAGCTCCTGGGACATCCCAGAGCATGGGAGAATGACCGACTGCCCTGTGGCTCCCTTCTCCTCTGCAGGACATGCTGCCCATGCCAGGAGATCCGACCCAGGGGACAGGCAACTATAATATCGAAGACTTTGCCGACCTGGGCATGTTCCCGCCCTTTTCTGAGTAGCCGCAGGCGGCGCGAGGCTCTCCGGCGCAGTGCTGCCTGTGCTGGGACGTCAACTCGGATGTGAACGAGCCTGCCCTCCCCCTGCTGCCCCGCCTGTCCTGTGCAGAGCCCCCTCCCCCTTCCCCATCAATCCTCACCGCCCACTCTGCACTGGCCAGAGGCATTGTTCAACGCTTAGAAGTTGGTTGTATTTATTGTATTTTATCTGTGTGTGCTTGGTGGGGAGGGGCATACGGGGCCCCTAAAACATGATTGTGAATAATCTCTTAGTAGACAACATACACCTTTGAAGGGTTCATTCCAGGCCCAGAGCAGTCCGGCTGCACGAGCAGGCCGGCCCTCAGTTCTGAAACCATGTTCCTTCTTATATTTCACTTTCGCCAGATGGGTAGGACTCGGGGGTGCTAGACATCCAGGATGCAGGATGCAAAGCCTCTGTGGTATGAACCAAGCCGGAAGAGAGGTGCACAGGGACATCAAGGGCACCCTGCCCACCCATAGCCCACCCCCCCCTCCACCTCCTAGGTTCAGCCTGACTTCTCTATGGGCCCACTGTACAGTGGGGCGTGTGTACTTTGTGCGGTGTGACATGATCCCAGTCTCAGTGGGTGTATCGTGCCCCGTGTCTGTTGTGTGCAGCCAGCGTGAGTGTATAGAATTCAGAGTGCGTCGTGTGAACACCCCGGCCCCAAGCTCAACCCCCTGACAGGGCGGCCTGGGCCTGTAGCTTCCGGTTCTGTTGGCGCTCCCAACACAGGTCCTAGGAGCCGCTGCTGACTAGCCCGTCCCCAAGGTCGTGAAAGTACTGTTCTTCGACCCAAGCCTCCTCCCTGCTAGTGTCTGCAGTGGTCAGGCCCTCAGGGGTCACCTCGCGCCCACCCCCCTCCCCCCGTCCAGGTGTGAGGCAAGCCTGTGGCCTCGTCATGTACCTAAGCTGCACCGGCCATGGGTCCCCACCCCAGCCCAGAGCCTTGTCTGCTCACTGACTGGAGACGTTGAGGTGTCAAGCCCATGCGTCGAGACAGGGACTCTGAACCACTTCCCCCAGGCCCCACGATCTTCTTTCTTCAGCCCAATTAAGGAGTCAAGGAGATCAGGCCCGTGGCATGGAAGACTTGGGTCCCGGGCATGATTCCAATTCTGCTCCTGCCACAAACCCACAGGGCCTTGAATTCCTTGGGTGGTCTGGAGATGGGAGTTGAGAGCTGGGTTGTAGGCACGTCTGCCCATGGCCCCAAGATGACTGGGTGTCCCCCACATGGGAGGAAAGGGGGTTCAGAATCAGTTCTCCCATCTTTTCACTTCCTCCGTGGCCACTCCCTCTCCCCACCAATGCCCTTTAGGAGCAAAGGCTCTGCCTGCCCTGTTTTCAGCCTCCGGTCTCACGTGTCCAGCCCAGCAGCTCACAGACACCTTCTCAGCAGAGAAACCTCTCTGGGCTGCCTCAGGGGAGGGCAGAGGACCCACCCCCAGAAACCTTAGCATCCTTCCCAGAGTTCCTTCATGTAGACCCCTGTCAGGCACTGGAGAGTGGTGACAACTCTTGAAACCACACAGTGACCCCTCTTCCCAGGTTCCAGAGGACCGTGTGAGTGAGCGGACTTGCGGCGGGGCCGCAGCCTGAGCCCAGCCTGAAGCAGGGAGGAATAGCGAGAGTGGTTCAACGATGCTTTGGAAGCACTGCTTTAAACCTCGGCCTTGCCTAGCATCCAGGGCAGGTGGCAGGGCCCCAGGTGGCTTCAGTGTCAGAAGTGCAGCCTGGCTCTGTGGACTGCCTCTGGGTGTCGTGATCGAGATAACGGTGGGATCTCAGCCCAGACTCCAGACTCGCATGCATTTTGCAGGTTCGGGGCAGCTTTTCCTCCTCTTGTACTTAGTGGTGATTGGGTCTGAGTTCAAATGAACTGAGTGCTGGCTCCTCCCAAGGGAGTCATTTCACTCCTGGGGAAATGATGGGAAGTCAAAGCTCTGCACATGGGCACGTCCTAACAGTGCCAGAGCCAGAGCCAGCCTCCCTGCATTGCCCTGAGTGTGTGTCAAATGAGAGTTCTAGATTTTACCTCTCTGGGTTCTAATATTTATTGCAATGGCTACACAGAACCCACAGACAAAATTCATGATTATAGGGCTTATTCAGGATGCTAGCAAGTTGTAATGCCAATGACAAATGTTCAGGTTGAGTTATCAGGAGATGTAACAAAGTTATTTCGGGTCTGCTGATAAATGCCCAAAGGGGTATATCAATCCCCCTGGAAGTCTCAACCCAAAGGCATTCAGCTCAAGCTCCATGGATCAGCAAGCCCAGCCTCCCCAATTAAGTGCCCAGAGGCACCCCACTCCACCAGCTAGCCTCCTGCACAACAGCACTCAGCTTTCCTTGCTCCTTGAGCTGAGAAGTCCATCACTAGTTCATGCCCTGGCTCTGCTGCTGCTCCTTGGATGGGCTAGCTGTCTCCTGGATTTACGGGGCTCACTGCACAGGGATCTCAGGTCCAGAGGAGATGCTCCACTCCTACCTCCTGCCGGAAATGAGATCCCTTCTCATATTTCACAGAGGGTCCATGTTATATGCAGCAGGATGGCAATTCAGGGACTCCTGTTCACAATGGCTCACAGGTGAATCCTATCAGTATCTGCCCCACCTTCCTAGGAGACCCATGCAGGAAAAGGTCATTGGTGGGAGAGACTGGCGGGAAGAGCCACATTAAACAATTCACTTCCCCTACCGCCTGCCTCTGTCCCACCCAGGGCCACTTCTGCCACCCACAGCCTTGGGCTTGCTCCAGCCGGTGACCACCATTCTTTCCCCAGATGGCACAAGAGTAGAATTTGGATCAGAACAAGTTTTCTCAGTGAGATGAAAGCAGGCTTGTGGCCCTTAGCTAATGAGTTTGGAATTTTGGAAGTTGGGGGCTTTTCTTAGATGCAGTAATTAGCTAACGCACTTGGCTGTGGGCCTGTCTGGTATCTGGGTCCCTGACGAGCACCTAGGGGAAACGAAAGCAATAAGAGATGATCCCTGTTCCCAAGGACCTTCCCTCGGCTTCTCCGGCTACAATAGGGGCCGGCTCAGTTCTAAGTCCTGGAAGACTTTGATGGGTGACCAAAAACCTAGGCATACCGGGGAGCCCCAAAGGCACATCTTCCCGCCGCCACTCCTTCCAGCTCCGTCCAGAGAGCACTAACAGAGGGTCTGGTCGGCTGGCTGGAGTTCCATTGTCTCAGTCACTCCCCACTCAGCTTCTTCAGATGTGACAAGAAGCGATCCATCCTGTGGCAATAAGAAAACAGGAGAGGGAGGGACAGGAAGCCCAGGCCCAGGAAAATCCCAAACCCAAGGGACTCTCTTACCATGTTTTCTTATATTTTTAGCAAACCTGAAATAAGAATGAAAGACTTAGAGGGTTTATCGGCCCAGCTCAGGAAGCCAGAATGTTCATGGGCACTCTTACCTGATTGGCTTTCAGACATAGCCTGCTCTCTACCTGGGGATGAACTTGAAGCCTGGGCCAGAAAGGTGAGAGATACTTTCTCACCTGAAGTCATTCTCTGTGGCTCTGAGACCCTGTGTCGCCCTCACCTCTGCGGAACCACCACACATTCCCGGGGCCACGCAAGCAGATGTCTTCCACAGAGAAGGCCATGTGGTGGCTGCCGGGCCATTGGCAATGACACAAAAGCAGCCACACTGAGGCATAACAGACCGAATTAGTGATCATGGCAGTGGCTGAGGACAGTTCTAGAACGTCCTACCTAGATGTCCGTCCCCACTAACGTTTTCCAGTTGGTTCCAGGAAGTGGTAGAACCACATTCGGCTCCCCTTTCCAGCGTATTAAACCCAACCCTTTCATTGTTTTTTGAATACACGCCGTGAGTGATGGGTCTTACACTGGGGAGCTTATTGACAGGGGCTGCAACAGTGGGCTCGAACCACAATCACGTAAGGGTGGCATAGCAGAGTGTTCTTCTGTCCTTCATGGGGTCACTGTGAGCAGCAGCCAACAAGAGAACACCCAGCCCCAAGCACCACCCTGGGGCATTTAAGTCATCAAGGGGGCTGTGTGTTACTCAGGTTAGCCACACTCATGGCCATCAGAGTTCCTGCTAACCAGAAGTGAGGCCAGCCCTAGGGAGATGAATGAGAGTCTTGCCCCCTCCCCAGCAGTGCTGGTGGCAACACGAGCTGTGCTGGAGCAGCGAATACACAGCCCGGGCCCCCTGGCTCCAGCATACTTACTGCCCGTCATATAAACAGGAATGGGCCAGTTACCTAACAGGTCTAGGCATGACACGTTGGAAGAGAAACACGCCTCTTTGTATTGTACATAGGACTTGGTCATTAAGTCACTGCGTCCTGACTTGCCAGGGTCTGCACAGCCCCCATCTCCCTAACCGGTCTATACGGAGCTCTGAGCCACCTAGCTGTCCACCTTCCCCTCACCTGCCTGAACCCTGAGGTCACTTGAATATCCCCCCCCCACCCTGCAGCCAGCTGTGCAGGCTCATTTTCACATGGAGGTGTGCCTACAATTCAAAGTGGGAATGGTGGACAAGCAACTGACCAAAGTGTGTGTGGGCACTAACTGTGAGAGCCCAGTGTGAAGGTTCTGTATGCTGTGAAGGTCAGGGGCAGCTTGCTTCCAATAGCAATCTAATTTTCCTGTAAAATCTAAAGCTCTCCCAGGGGGCCACTACTCATTTCTATTTTCAGCTTTCTTTCTGATGGATGTGAACTGTGCTGTGGATAAATCATTTGTATTTCTTGGATGTTCTCTATGACTAACAGTTACAAAGTCGGTTGTGTATATGTGTAACTAATGTTAACTGCCTTTTGAAATTTCAGTACAATAAAAAGGACTTTGCTCTGAACAATGAACCACCTGGGCTGACTTGGTACCTGAACCATCCGCGCAGCCTACGCCTTAGTTTGGGATTTATCTTGTGCAAACACCTTCTTCAGCACTGGGCCTTGTCACAGGCAGTGGAGGGTGTAGTACACAGGAATGAGGTGGAGGGTCCCTTTGGGAAATGACAACATTGGGGGTAAGAGAAAAGGAATGAATAGTTCTTGAGTTTCTGGATTTAAGGGAGACCTACAAAGCCTTTCGCGAATGTCATTTTTTGTTAATCATTAGAAACATGGTCGGTGGTTAGGCCTGCTTTGTTGATGAAGATAAGGCGCCCTGATGGCACAGCAGTTAGGCACTTAGCTACTACATAAAAGGTGGCAGGTTTGAATCCACCCAGGGACACCACCGGGGACAGATCTGGGGACTGGCTCCAGTGAGGAGTACAGCTTAGAAACCCCCAGGGGGTCATCTGACTGTGTGACAGGATGTGGCAGCCTCAACCCCCCCGGCACCCAGTCCCAGCGGGAGATGAAGACACTGGGCACAGAGATGCTCCGCGAAGATCTACGCCATCAGAAGACAGTGGCAGAACCCCGATTTAATCTCTGGTCTCCTTGCCAAACCCTGTAAGTCCTGTCTTCTTCAGACACACTTTT